ATCAATTGGCTGTGTAATTGGAAACCTTTGACTTATTTTGATGTTTTGGCAACTAGCTGGAATCAGCCAGTTAATTTAAACTAAGCACTTAGAGATTGAAAACCAATTGAATTTAAATCTGACAGTTTTGACAACCTCAGACCAATTCTGTTATTTAAAAATTGATAGGTCTTTGGGGGTATATAAGAAGTGGGTTTTTGAAAATCGGTGTGCTAAATGGAATAGATTTTGAACAGATGTAGCAACTCAACACTGGGTATCTGTGAGGTACCATGGGCCACAGGCAGCAGCAGAATTGTACTCAACACAGTCTTTGTAACCTCTTGGTCTGACATGTCCCCCATTGTATCAGTACTACCAACCATCTTTGGCTGTTTCATCCATGACCTTCCCTCCAACTAAAAGTTAGAATTGGGGATACAAGGTTCAGCACTATTCACAACTCAGATTCTGAAGCAGCCTATGTCCATAGGCAGCAATATCTGGACAACGTCCAGGCTTGAGCTGATGAGTGACAACAAGGTGCCAGACAAGTGCTAGGCAATGACCATCTCAAAGAAAAGAAATCCTAGCCACCTCCCCTTAATATTTGTTGGCATTACCATTACTGAATTTTTCCTTTCACTGTACATATATTATCATTTTGGAAAGCCCATCTGAAATAAAAGTATCTGACAGGAGTATTTCAGATATCTCTGTTTCACAGTTTTCACTTTACGAAAAAAATAGACCGAGTTAGGTTATACTCTCTGAAGTGTATTGAAATCTTCAATTTTGTGGTTCATGTACTGGCCATTTCACAACCACACCAACAACTCCATGTTTATGTAGCTTCTTTAAGATCAACAATAAAGATTTCAAAGTTCTCTACCAGCCATCAGAGAGCACAATATGACACAAGACCACATAAGCAGAAGTTCAAAGAGATGACCAACACTTCATGAAAAATATGAGTTATGTTAGTATGTTAAAAAAAGAAAGACTATGTAGAGAGATTTGGAGTCGGAATTCCAGAGTTGAGGCCCTGAGCTGTTGAAGGAACTGCTACCAAAATTTGAATGGTTAAAAGCAGGGATCATCAGGAGGCCTGAACTACAGGAGCACAGGTGGGACTGGAAGAGGCTACAGAGATGGGGAGGCCGAGGAGGAATTTGTAAACAAGGTTAAAACCCAGACTTTGCTGAACTGATAACAAACCTAAGCAGGGATTGATTGGTGAACAGAATTAAATGTGAGTTACAGCAATGACAATTTTGGATGATCTCCAGTTTATGGATGGCGGAGCTTTTGAGGTTGAGTAGAAGAATGCCAAAGTAGTCATGCTTAGAGTTGAAAAGACACAGATGAGAATACAGCAGAAGATGGCCTGAGACAAGAGCAGAGTCAGGCAATGATACATATATGGAAATAGGCAGACTTCAGTGAAAGTGCAGCTTTGAGTTTGAATGCTTAACTTGGGGTCCAGGTATGGCACAGACCTTGCAAGAGATGTGATTCAACTTCAAATAATTTGCCAGGAAGAGGGGTGAAGTTGGTGATTAGGGAACAAAGTTTATGACAATGGCTTCATCTTCCCAATATTTAATTGGAGGAAATTTCAGTGTGTATGGAGTTCATGGAGTCAGAGTAAAACAGCATCATGAATTTTCCTGAGAGTGATTCCAGACAGCAGTTCCATCAGCCTGCTAGTCCTAATGGAAGTCAAACCATATTCTGCACTGGCCTTTCTTTGTATTGAGCTTGTGTTCTACAGTCAGAAATTGATTCCATTCTACAGCTACTAGATCCAGACTTCTGTAATGTCTAACTATTACTTTCAAAATGATTTTATTAAAGTGAGATGGAATCTTGTTTACCAAAACTGGTGAGAAAGCAGACAATGACAAATTTGCTACTGGTGCAGGGATTAAAGAAATATTGCCAAGTTTGTTTGCAGAACACCAACTAACTGCATTTATAATTGCAGTTACATAGAACAGTACAGCACAGGAACTGGCCTTTCAGCCTACCAGGTCTGAGCTCGCCAAGATGCCATTCTAAACTAATCCTATCTGCCTGCATGTGATTCATATCTCTCTATTCACCTATTCATGGGACCAGAGCTTTCAAAGATTTTATACTGTGTATTCACCCAGGTGGTAAGATGTACAGAATTTAAACAAAAGTTGCTTTATGCACCAAACATTTGATGTGATTCTTTTAGTACTTTTCTGCTTTAAGTTAAGCATAATCCAATAAAGTTATATTTTTAATCTACTCTATTAGAAATAATAAGATAAACCAAGCATGTGATCACAGCAGATTGTTGTGCAAACATCAGCACTGACATTCTCTTTGTTTTAATTTTTCTTATTCATTCACGGAATGAGGGTGTCACTGGCTAGGCCAGCATTTATTGCCCATCCCTAATTGCCCAGAGAGCAACTAATAGTCAACGACATTGCTGTGGGTCTGTAGTCACATGTAGACCAGACATGGTAAGGATGGCAGTTTCCTTCCGTAAAGGAGATTAGTAAACCAGATGGTTTTTTCTGCCCATTGACAATGGATTCATGGTCATCATTAGATTCAAAATTCCAGTTTTTTTTTTAAAAATTGAATTCAAATTCCACCATCTACTGTGGTTGGATTCAAACCCAGGTCCCCAGAACATTATCTAGGTTTCTGGATTAACAGTCCAGCGATAATAGCACTTGGCCATCGCCTCCCCTAAATATTCATAATCTAGGGTCAGTGAAGGGATAGAGTCGTAGAGTTATACAGCATGGAAACAGAACTTGAGGTTCAACTCATCCACACTGACCAGATATCCTAAACAGATCTAGTCCCATTGTCAGCACTTGGTCCGTATCCTTCTAAACCCGTCCTATTCATGTACCCATTCAGATGCCTTTTAAATGTTGTAATTGTACCTGCCTGTACCACTTCCTCTGGCAGCTCATTCCGTGCACTCACCACATTCTGCATGAAAAAATTGCCCCTGTGGTGCTTTTTAAATCTTTCTTCCCTCACCTTAAACCCAAGCCCTCTAGTTTTGGACTCCCCTAGCTTGGGAAAAAGACTTTGTCTATTTACCCTGTCCATGCCCCTCAAGATTTTATAGAATTATATAAGGTCACCCCTCAGCCACCGATGCTCCGGGGAATAAGCCCCAGTCTATCAGTCTCTCCCTATTGCTGAAGCCCTCGGTCCTAGCAACAACATTATAAATCTTTTCTGAGCCCTTTCAAGGTTGGCAACATCTTTCCTAAAGCCAGGAGGGTAGAACTGAACATATCTGATCAAGGTCCCCTTGTACTCTCAGGTAATCTTCTTCACTATCCACTACACCATTAATTTTGGTGTTAGCTGCAAATTTGCTAACTATACCTACTGTCTTCAAATCCAAATAGTTTATATAAATGATATAAAGTAGTGAGCCAACACCGATCCTTGTGGTACGCCACTGGTCACAGACCTCCAGTCTGAAAAACAACCCTGTACCACCACCCTCTGTTTCCCACCTGTAAGCCAATTTTGTATCCAGTTGGCTAGTTCCCCTTGGATTCCATGTGATCTAACCTTGTTAACCAGTCTATTCTGTGATATCCAGCTGGCTGACCTTGTTACGGTAGTGATCAGTGCTATTTTGAGAATGTTGTCAGGGCCCTGTAGCCTTTGTCGCATCCAGTGCCTCCAGCCATTTCTTGACGACTGGCACATGTGATACTAGGGACTTCTGAAGGAGGCCAAGGCAGATTATCTATTCAGCACTTCTGGCTGAAGATTGTTGCAAATGCTTCAGCCGCATCTTTTGTAGTGATGTGCTGGGCTCTCCTATTGTTGTACTATTGAGAATGTGCATCTTGGTGGAGCCTCCTCCTCAAGTGAGTTGTTTAATTGTCTGCAACCATTCATGACTGGATGTGGCAGGACTGCAGAGCTTAGATCTCATCCATTGTTTGTGAAATTGCTTAGCCCTGTCTGTCACTTACTGCTTATATTGTTTGGCTGTCAAATAGTCCTGTTTTGTAGATTCACCATGTTGACACCTCATTTTTAGGCATGCCTGGTGCTAATCGTGCACACTTCAATGAACTAGGGTTGTTTCCATAGCTTCATTGTATTGGTAGAATGAGGGTTATGCTGAGGTTGCAGAATGCAATGGAGGATGATTCTGCTGCGGCTGATGGTCCACAGCGCCTCATGGATGCTCAGTCTCAAGTTGCTAGATCTGTTTAAAGTCTGTCCCATATAGTATGGTTGTCATGCCATGCAACGTGATCTAAGGTATTCTCACTGTGAAGGCGGGACTTCATCTCCACCAACACTGCCGTAGACATGCATCTGCAGCTGACAGATTGGTGAGGATGTATGTTTATCCCTCTTGTTGGTTCATTCACCACCTGCCACAGCCCCAGTCTAGCAGCATTATCCTTTGGGATTTGACCAGCTCAGTCAGTAGTGCTGCTGCTGAGCCATTCTTGGTGGTAGACATTGAAAACCCCACCCAGAGTATATTCTAGGCCCTTGTTACACTCGGTGTTTCTTATAAGTGATGTTCAATGTGGAGGAATACTGATTCAACAGCCAAGGGGGGTGATGGTGGTGTTGGTTGAGAGATGGAGGCTTGTGTAATAACCAGCATGTTTCCTTGCTCGTGTATAACCTAGTTTAGTGTAAATTACAAAATACAAGGGAATATTTTTAGAATCCTAAAAAGAAGATTTTTTTCTATATTTATCTTCGTTTCTAAACTGAAGGCAGGAAGCTAAGTTTCTAAAATTGAGTAATATGTTTTAAGCAGGTTTTGCTTGATGTCTTTGCTTTGACAATGGCTCTGCCTTCAGAAATACTTCAGAATGTATGATAATAATTCCCTGACTATGCTTTTGCTTTCTCTAACCCTTTTCAATTATCCCTGTGTTTAGGATCCATTCTATATTACCTGATTCAGTATGTTTTGAGAATCTGAGTTGCAGATAACGTTGGTCATTTTTTTTTCTTGTCTTTCTTTTAAGAGCCCTTCTAGCAGGTGGAGGCTTTTCCACGTGGACGTATCGACAGGGTTATGATGTTAGCATTCCAGTTTTTAGTCCGTTGTCAACAGATGTCAATCTGCCTGTGAAGCATCCTGGGTAAGAATCAGCTACATTATTACTGGAAATCTTGATGTATTTATTACATTCTCATTTTATCAACGTTACTTATAAGATTCCAAATGTACTGCATTTAAAGTTATGGTGGACAGTTTTCATAGCTGTTAGTAGGCTATCTTGCAGACTTGGTACAAAATCTCCTTCTGCATTGTGTTTTGGATAAATTAAGTATACCCCACCACACTGTCACCCCAGCAAAATGACTTTAGTCTTGGGAAATCTTTACAGACATCATTCTATTGTTCCAAATCACTTTGTATGTAATTGGAAAGAATAAAACTCCTGTTATGATGAAATAGCTACCATCGTGCAATGAAGATTTAAGCAATAACTACCCATGGTGTTTAGTGAATACTTGAAAGGACCTGTTAGATTATAGGAATCTCATTCTTCCAGTCATACAGCACCAAATATTATATTCATGGTTCTCGTTGCAATTGTTTACATTCAGGTAAGAAGAAGCTGTCTCCAGGGCTGTGCTTTTGCAAACTTATAGCAAAAGTAGTAAACTCCAATTTGCAACATGTTTGAAAATTAATGCTGAGAATCTGGGAGCTTCAAGCTGAAATAACTTTCTACTGTGTAATTTAGTTTGAATTCTCCATTTGTTAACAAACTAGTCAAGCAAATTGTTGCCGTAAACATTGTTGCACATGCTCCTGTTCAGTAATGCAAAGTAGATGTTCATTGGACTTGATGCAGGATGCTTCCAGGTTGCAATCATGGACTGGTGTTGTTCAAAACAAAACTAGTTCTTCTGTGCCAGTTTACTGAAATGCAGTTAAGTTCTAGCATGTAGTATGATAATGTAAAGAAGATATTCCTATGTTATTGTTAGTGTACTAGCTCTCCCGACAGCCCTTTAGCCCAAAAGACAGAAATCACTTGTTTGTGGTTTTTGTTTTGCTTTAATTGATTTCACCAACATATACAAGTTGTAAAATCAATTCAACAGATTTACAGTACATCAAAGGTACATGAGAAATATTTTTAACAATGGAAAATAATACCTTAATATATATTTTCAGGTACAGAATGTATTTTATCTTGTCTACACAAACTGCAATCCACCCAGAATATCGCACTGAGCTGGAGGCCATAGAAGCAGAACATGGAGATGCTCTGCTAATCCTAGACAAATGTACCAACTTATCAGAAGGTGTACCTTCTACAAGAAAACGTTGCCACAAAAATCAAATCTTTGACTACCCACAGATTCTACAGGTATAATACATTTATATGAACACTGCTGTTAATTCACAGTGCTGCTTATGATTAACATTGAGTTTCAGCTATTATTTTGAGATAGGAGTAATCTTTCGACTAGTTGCTACTGCAGCTGTTTCTAGCTAAACTCATCTTGTAACAAAGTTTTGCAACATGACTGTGAGGCCTTGATGGCATAAGGAGAAACAGAGGGGCATATGTGCCAGCAATTGGTGTTTTACAGTCACTATTATAGAGTTTAACATATAAGAGAAAGCTGTCTGATAATTGCTGTGGACATGTTGTGTAACATCTACTTAACTAAGTTATTTGATTTAATAGTAGCTGCAATGCTGGTGTAGAGAAAGTGACAGATTTTTTTAACTTCACCAGTTAAACATAACAAAGAATTAGGAACAGAAACAAAAACACAAAGATCTGGAGAAACTCGGCAGGTCTGGCAGCATCTGCAGAGAGAAAAAGAACTTGTTTTCGAGTCCAGTGACCCTTCGTCAGAACTGAACAAGGGTCACCGGACTCGATGTTAACTGCTTTACTCTCCAGAGATGCTGCCTGACCTGCTGAGTTTCTCTAGAACTTTGTTTTTGTTTCAGATTTCCAGAATCTGCAGTTCTTTGATCTGTTTAGTGTTTAATTTGCTACCGCACCTTTTCTAGGTATGTCCACATTAAAGAAGCTCTGCTCCTCTCTCTGATAGGATTTCCATTTGAATCTTTCTTCTTGTTCACCATCATTACTTTCGTTTTCACTACTAGTGTTTACTAAAGTGTTTGGCTAAAACCTGCTTTCACAGCCACATTTGATTCCTTAGTGATTGTCTGTATTGCAGGCTTACCCCATCTAGATTCTAATTGAAATTTCATCTTTCATGTTTAAAATCCACACAGGATCTCTCATATCTCCACAATGTACAGTGCTCCTCAGACAGCTATCCTTGCCACATCCTGAGATGCTGGCTCAGTGTCATGAGCTACCATGTCTACATACTTGACTTCTCTCTTCATCAGCTTTGCCTCATGCTAACGCAAATCTGTCCCGTCCCCAAAATCCACTTCATTCTTTGGCTCAATTTTGATTTCTTCGTTCTCCAGCATCTGCAACTGTCTGTTTTATATCAATAGGAATAGAAGTGGGCTGTACAGCCTCTTGAGTTTCTTCTTTATTCACTAAGATGATGGCTTACCTTGATTTAGCATCTACAGCTCTCTGGGGTAGAGAATTCCAAAAATCCATAGAGAGGAAATTTTTCCTTGTCTCACCTTAATTGATTGACCTCTTGTCCTGAGACCATGTCCCCATTATTATTAGATAGGAGCAACACATTTAGAAAATTATTGTTTTTAAAAGGGAAATGGTGCTTGAAAAAGTTATTAACATTCTTTGAGGGTATAGCAAATTGGGGGAGGAGTCTTATAGTGCAGTGCTAGTGTCTCTATCTCTAAAACAGGAGGCTGAGGTTCAAGTTCCATCTGCTTCTGACTTCTGTCATAACATTTCTGAACAAGTTAATTTAAAATCTATGTAACAAATAGGGTGAATAATGGGGAGCCAGTAGATGCAAAGTATTTAGACTTCTAAAGGCATTCAATAAGGTGCTATATAAAATGTTACTACACAAGAGAAATGCATATTGAGTTGGGATGAGGAAGTTGTCTTATAAGAATAGGTTGAATGCATTGGGCCTATGGCCATTGAGGTTTACAAGAATAAGATGTGGTCTAATGGGAACACACATGATTCTGAGAAGCCTTGACAAGGTAGCTGCTGACAGGATGTTTCTCTTAGTTGAGCACAATTTAGGAACAAAGAGGTCTCCCATTTCAAACATGATAAGGCCAGATTTCTTCTTTGAGTGTCATTATGTTTGGAAATTTGTGCACTAGGGAGCAGTGGAAGTTGGGTCACTGAATGCATTCACAGATTTTTGATTGTCAAGGAAGTAGAGTTAAGAAATGCATGAAGTCACTGTCAGATCAGTCATATTCTTATGGAATCGTAAGGCAGATTTAATGGAATCAGTGGCTTTTCCTGGATCTTTTCTCTTATCTCATAGTTTTTGTGTCATTTTGGGAAGATATCCAGTGTTTATAGGAATAACAGAGACAACAAGGTGCAGAGCTGGATGAAGACAGCAGGCCAAGCCGCATCATAGGAGCAGAAAGGCTGACGTTTCGG